AGTGCGGAATAAAAAAAACTTATTTACATCCATACATTTAAACTTTATTTAAACAACTTTAAAAACACACAGCGGAAGTCTAAGTCTCACATGGCCATCTTAGACACAGTCACAAAACATAAGTAGGGACACGGCCCTTTACAATCAAAAGAAGTCTATTAAGTCTATTACATGAACAAAAGAACTTAAAAGTCTTATCCTCGAATCCATGAGGACATACCAAGTCTTGGAGAAAAGCAATCCAACACTTCAAACTAGCTAGGAGGGATCACTTGCCGGAACCTACACTTATAGTAAAAATATGAAGAATATGGGTTAGTACACAAAATGTACTAAGTATGATGACCATGCAAAACATGCTTTAAAAGGGACATTTTGGTTAGAAACCATGCATTATGCCACTTTTGAAGTACCGTGAATAGTTGCATACAAGACAAGCATAAACACCAAGTAAGTCATAATATCACCTTTAAACAATATCAACATGAAAACCTTTACCTCAAGAAACCCTTATGCTATACCTCGTGCAATGTATGGATGGCGTCCCATACCACCATCCATACTAAGGCACCACATTAAGGTCACTTAAGGTAACTTATCATTCCTTTCTTTCACCTTTGCACAATATTCATACATAAGAGGTATATCATTAATTAAGACATGACAAGGGAAAATAACTCATAATATAACCCAAGTATAGCATGCATCTCATATTAAGCATTTGAGAGCCAACATTCTTTAAGAAACCATTTAGGGCACATTTATTTCACATACATTAGGATTTAGAGAAACTCACTATGACCCTCTCCAAGCCTACTCGTGCAATGTATAGGTAGCATCCCATACTACTACCTACACTTTGTAGAACCTGTCAAGAAACCATAATGAAATCTCACATGATGGGAAGTAAGCATTTAACCGACATAGACCATGAGAGCTTGTCATGGAATCCGGTGTCATAAGTCCCCACACCGTAAAGAGGTGGTCTACTTGCCTAAGGAAGACCGGTATATATAGCTTAATGGATCCACTAGCTTCCTATGCGGGCACATAGTTTATGGGATAAGGTAGACGATCATTGAAACTCATGCCTAACTATTGGGGGAGTTTCCATCTAACCAAATCCACTCGGTGCTTAGCCAACATTCCCATAGAATAGTTCGTTACCTTGACATTATCACATATGAGAGGTGCCATTGGCCTACCAACTCCAAATTACATTTATTAACACATGAAAGGGTGCTTTAAGCCTACCGTTTCAAGGTTCATTTAGGAAAGCTCATTAACTCCTCTTGAAAGGGTGCCATGGGCCTACCGGTTCAAGTCTCATCATTAACCTTCATGGAAAGGTGCCATAGGCCTACCGAATCCAAGGTTCATTACTTATCATTAATGGAAGGGTGCAATAAGCCTGCCGATCCGAGGTACATTATAAGCATGTGTGGAAGGGTGCCATAAGCCTACCGATCCAAGGATTCAACAATCAACAATATAATCATTTATACAAGAAAATGATGCATAAGCCCTACCAATTCAAGGTATACTTTATATTGAAGAATCCTTCATATTCTATCATCAACATTCATGAGTGTCAAATTGAGAAAAATCCTTTCAATAATAACACATTTACTTTCATAACATAATCACATTAGCTCCATTGAATGTCCATTCATAAAAATGTCATGTAACACTTAAATTTCTCATACTATGCCTTCAAGGCCATGGTCACAATACATTCCATAATTAAACACCTCCACCATAAGTGGATCAAACCAAGCAAGAACAATTTTATCCATAATATGAGATTAAGCCAACTTACCATCCTCCAAAGCCATAATCAACAACACTCAAGTCCCAACCATTTTTCTTACCACAAGAGAATTCATCCATAACTTGCCCATAAGGCCACAACTTTCAATTCATCCATACATCACCAATCCATCATAGATAGATGTAGAAAATCATCATAAATCATCATTTAAACACTAATACAATCATAATAAGTCATTAATAACCATTTGAAAACGTTTGAAGAAGGAACCCATGAGTTAGAATAAAAACCCTAGGTTTTGAAGAACTTGGAAGCTTTGAAATCATGTTTTGAAGGGACTCTATGGGTGAAAGCTACCCATAGATGAAAAGCCACCATACCTTTGCTATGATCTCTCAAGAAATTTGATGAAGAAAAACTTGAATCCAAAGCCTAGCTCCCACTTCTTCTTCTTCTTAATGGAGGATTGTAGAGAGGGAAATGTTTTTAGGGATGGGAATTGGATTAATGGTATCTAGGAAATAATATATGTCCTTTGGAAGAATGGTCCAACACTTAGAAAAAAAATGAGGCGGGGGAACAGTAATTTCGGGCACTGGAAATTTGCATTTCCTGCCGGATAGATTTTACGAAAATGGGCATAACTTCTTCGTCCGAACTCCGAATGAGGTGAAACGAAGTGCGTTAGGTAGCTAACTCAAAGGGCTTTCCATGGATATATTATTGGCCACCCAAATAATTTGTGTGCTAGGAGATATGACCCTCCAAAGTAGACCCTCGAAAAGGCTTCACTTGGAAATTTCGGATTTTGATACGGTTGCTCTAAAATTTGGGTTAGACCCATTTCCCACTCAATTTGACCCCCTAAACAAGAATATGAAGTCGGATTTTCGAAAAAAGAAACGGATCTTTTTATATACAGCTAAACAAGTTTTCGGTAACTTTTGAAGCACATTTTTAAGAACTTTTTGGGTCAAATTCAAATATAATCATTTCATTAAGTTCTCGACTCCAAACTCACATGTGAGGCTCTAGTTTCACTCTATCATTTTTCGGGTTGTTACAGAAATAACCATTTACAGTCAACAATATTTTTCGTCGGCTCCCGAGGAGCTAACTCCCAAGTTTGGTTTCTCATTAGTGCTTCATATTCTAAATCCATTGATTTCTTCCATTCGTTGTGCTTAACAACTTGTTTAAAGGTGTTTGGAGTGGGGGAGAGATGAGCCAAGAAGGTGAATCGTTGTGTTGGTTTGAAATGTTATTTTTGGACCTTGTGATCACACCAGATGATGTGTTCATGGTGGGATGAGGGTTTTGTGGATGCTGGTTTGATATTTCTGAAGGGTAATTATGAGTGAGTGATGGAGTAGAAGTGGCATCTGCAAGATTATTATATAGACGAGAAGAAGAGGAAGAGATGGGGAAAATACCTGATTGATGAAGATTTGCTGGTAGTTGGCCTTCCGTCATGGACTCTTGATTATTTGAGGATCAGTTCAAATCTTGTGGATAACTAGAAGGAGATGGGATTGATAAGAAGATAGGGATAGGTGGCAGAAGAGTTGGAACAAGGTTGGAGTCCAAAGTCTGTTGATTTTTTGAAGTCTTTTCTGAATGGGATTCTATTATTTCCCAGTTTATCTTGGAAAATTTATTTTTTAACTGTGAGAACATGGTGGTAAAAGGAAAAATAGTTTCAAAAAATTGTACATCACGACTAACAAATACCTTTGAATTTACTAGATCAAAACATAGGTGTGCATTATGAACAATTGAAACTCCTAAATATACGCAAGGCATGGATCTTGGTTGAAATTTATTTTGAGTATATGGTTTGAGCCATGGATAACAAAGACAACAAATTTTTTTTAGCGAAGAGTATTTTGGGGTTTTGCCAAATAATTTTTGATAAGGAGACTCATTATTTAAACCAGGAGCAGGAAGTCTATTTATTAGATAGACTGCATGGTGACAGGCAAATGACCACAATTCAGGTGGAAGTGAGGGTGGAAGTGAGGCTTCATTGAGAAGAGTTCTTGCTGTTTCGACAATGTGACGATGTCGTCGTTCATCTATGGTGACTCGTTGAGGAGTGTAAGGTGGTGAAATTAAATGCTCAATGCCCTTTTGTTGTAGGTAGTGTTTAAGACCCATGTATTCACCCCCACCATCTGTGTAAACAGAGGCAATTTTGTGTTTGAAAAAATTTTCCACCAGAGGATGAAATTTTTCAAAAATAGTGGCAACTTCACTTTTATTTTTTATTGTATACAACCAAATATATTTGGTGTAGTGATCAACAAATATGCAGTAATACAAGTTTTTATCAATGGATAAAACGGGTGATGGACCCCATAAATCACTGAATAAAGTTTGTAATGGAGCATTGCTATTAAAAGTGAGTTGTTGAAATGGCAAACGATGAGCTTTATTGGATAAACAAGAATTACAAAACTCAAACTTTTCTTTGCTAGAAGTAGGAGGTGAAAATTTATTTAGGACAAAATCTAGAATTTTCAAATGAGGATGACCAAGGCGACGATGCCACAGTTGTCGAGAGACTTTGATGGAGGTGAAATTGATGGAGGGAAGATTATGACGCATATGTGGCCACTCATAAAGTCCATTTTTGTTCCGGCCTCGTACCAGTAGTCTCCGAGTTTTGAGGTCCTTCACATGAAAAGAGTATGGAAAAAATTCAACAGAGGTTAGATTGTCACTACAAAACTTGGCAACTGAAATGAGATTCTTTTTTATAGAAGGAGCACAAAGAGTGTCAGAAAGAATGAAATTAGCATTAGAAGCTTTTATTTGAGTTAAACCAGTATGAGTAATAGGAATAGTTTTACCGTCACCCATGGACACTTTCTCATTGCCAGTGTATTCGTCAAGATTGTCAGAATCTGTCGTTACATGATGTGTTGCTCCAGAATCAAGAATCCAAGGATTTTCATCTGGGTGATGATTCGACACAAAATTAACCTTTGCTTCAAAGTGATTATGTGACTTTGAGCGACACACATCAGCCGTGTGACCAATATTTTGGCACAATTAACATTTCACAGCTTGCCTTGGTTGTTTGCCACTTTGTGGGTTGTCAGTGGACTCTTGTCGTTGACCTGATGATTTCCATGATTGGTTGGAGAAGCGACGATTGTTCCTGTATTGTTGAGGTTGAAAGTTGGTCCTTTGTGCAACTGCAGCAGTGATGGTTGAGGACGATTTTTCAAGATCTTGGTGTTTCAGGGAAGAGTTCCTGGTCCGTGAGTTTGTGGAATAGTTCCTCAAAGCTTAAGGCTGTATCTCGTGCTTTTATGGCGGCAGAGATCTCACGATACTCAGGACCCAAGCCACTCAAGATCTTGACAGCGAGTTCTTCATCAGCTACTGGTGAACCAGCTACTTTGAAAGCATCAGCAATTGATCTAATTTCTTGTAAGTAATTAGCAACAGACCTGTTGGCCTTTTTCAAATTTTGCAACTGATCTCGCAGGCTGAAGATGTGAGTGTGACTCCTGTTGGCATACGCCGTATGAAGGAGTTCCCAGGCCAGTTTAGCCGAGGAAGCCGTTGCAATCGTGGGAGCAATGGTAGGATCGACTGATGCCATCATTGCCTGTTGGATCAGTTGATCCTGGCAGAACCACATTTCAAATTCAGGATTTTCGATAGTGGTATCATTATGAGTGATGGTGGATGGCAGAGCAGGTTTTGCTCCAGTGAGGTGCCCAATGAGTTTGTGTCCGTTGAGAAGCATCACCAATTGTGCTTTCCATGTTGCAAAGTTAAGATTACCTTGCAGTTTGATAGGTAATTGGGCAGCGGGATTAAATTGAATCAATTGAGGGATAGGAAGATCTGTAGTGCTATTATTGCCGGTGGTAGCAGGTGGACACATAGTATAGCTTAGTGAAAAAAAATGGATCAGACTCGTGAGAGTTTAGAGAAGCTCTGATACCATAAAGAGATTGAGAATTAAAAGAAAACTTGAATGATTTTATTCATTGCTTACATCTGCTTAAATACAAGTAAATGCAACTAACTTGACTAACTTAAAGGAACTAACTCGACTAGCTTTAAGCAATTAATCTAACAACTTAATCTTATCTAAAAGATTAGTTGACTTATTCAAACTAATTCAAAATTTAAACTTGAAATACTAACAAATAGATAACCACATGTTTATCTCAATAGTGTGTCAATTCAAAAGTGGACAAGTAATTAGGGACAGAGGGAGTATATATTAAATATTGAATGTCTCTTATAATTTTACGTGTGATTATTTTTTTATATTTTAATTTTTTTAATAAAGAATTTGATTTTACTATTACAAAAGGTTTATAACAAGGTTTGAATTTATTTAACATTCAATTATGTGGATATTTAGGATATATATGTGTATCTTTTAATATGATACGCATTTCATTGACTCAGAAAAAAGAAAAATCTGTGTAAATAAATAAAAACATGCAATTGACATTTGAGTATCAAGATGCTCAATTTTGACTCTTTTTTGTTTAAATATTTCTAGAATTTTCATGTTTCATTTTTGTGTATTTCTTGTGCAGGTTGTTTGCATTTGATAATAAGGGACAAGAGTCCAATGAGATTAAGGGGTTCATCAAATTTTCTTTGATGAAAAATTATTATATATTAAATATTAAATTTCTCTAATATTTTCATGTCGGTTAAAATTATAATATTTTTAAATAAAAAATTTGATTTTACCATCACGATAGGTTTATGACAAAGTTTGGATTCTTTCAATATTCAATTATGTGGCTATTTGGGATACGTATATTTTAATATGACATGCACTTCATTGACTCAGAAAAAAGCAAAATCTTTGTGTAAATAAATGTTACCAACGCCCTAACTCCTACCCAAACTATTGTATCCTTGTACATACTGCTTACCTCTCAAAGATTTTAAAAAATACGATAAGATATTATTAGTATAAATTTTAGGAATGCAATCTATCCCTATTTAGTTTGTCATTATATTAATATCTGAAAAAGTAAAATAAATCGGATACATAATATGTAGCTCGGATACATTAAAAGCTAGCTCAGATACATTATAAAATAAATCGGATACATAATATGTAGCTCGGGTAACGACTTGTTCCCGTCGTTATAGAAAAGCCAACGGGGGAAAATTTGGGGGCGAAAAACTTTTTCGTATTATTTGGATTTTCCTAACCTAATCCAGATTTGAACGAAATCGGAGTCTTTGAGGTGTAGGGAAATCTGGTAACAATCGGGTGAATCATTTATGATTTTGATTGCATGAGTGGTTAGATAACTCGTTAAGAAATCCGTACGACTTTACGGAATTGAATTCGGGCGAGGAACTCCCAAAATCGATCTTAGCATAAGAGGTATTTTCTGAGCATCGGTGTTTAGAGGTGTGTTGTGAAATGGGGATTTTGGAATTCTTTAAATAGCTCTCTATTTCGTTCTAGCCGCTTTAGCGCTGGATTGTGCCCCTCTGGGGGCCGCTACAGCGGGATGATGGCCGTTGTGGCGGGATCAACGCGACTTAAGGTTGTTAATAAATCCCTAAACAACCTTAGTATGCATTTTTTGACTTTTAGAGCTAAGGAACGAACCCTAGGCGACTCCTACTCGTTTTTCACCATTCTTGAGGCTAAATGTAAGTTTTTCACTCCCCGAATCTGTTTTTCGATCCGTAGAACGTAATAGAATGAGTGAATAATGATGGGGGAAGGTTTTGTTATAGATTCTATGGTGAAAACAACTCTAATTTGGATAATTGGGATCATGAGTTTGATCTAGGGTTCATAGAATTGTTAGTAATTCGGGTAATTAGTGATTGTTTATTGATTCCTGTATTATATTGATTATTTGTAGACCAAGAACAAGCGGAACGAATCCGAAAAGGGAATGATCAAGTTTCTTAGGGTTTCAAGCTTGTTTCGAGGTAGGTGATAGTTGTGATTCTACGATAGTGTGATGTATGTTTGTTCTTGCTTCATTATGATACTTGTATATGTATGAATGTTGCAATGTTGATCACACTTGTTGCAAACGAGAGAGATGAATGATGATTGCCATGAAATCATGACCTAAATGTATGATCTTGATGATGTACTTGTGATTGTGATTGTGGTGTGTTGAATGGATCAGTTGCCACGTTTCGGCATAACTAACTTGGATCGGTTGCCACGTTCCGGCATAACTATGGGATCGGTTGCCACGTTCCGATATAATTATGGGATTGGATACCACGTTCCGGTATGTTAACTGTTTAGGTTTGGGTTCCATGAGAGGACCAATGATTTGATATAAAATGTGACGTTGTTCGTTGTTCATAAATGTTGTTAATATTGTATATGTTGATATATATGCATATGATTATAATGTTGTCTTGACTTGGTTATGTGACACTTAGTGGGATAGCCGCGTGATCCTACCAGTACACTATGGTTGTGTACTGATACTGCACTTGCTCTTATTTTTGTTGAGTATAGGGCATCTTTAAGCTGCTACTGACAGATCTCGCTTAGGAGATCAGTGATCGTTCGAATTCAAGGGTGAGCCAATTCTTTCGGGATGCCATGGGTTCTCTTTCGTCTATGTCCACCATTTCCGGACTTAGACTATGTTCTAGTTAGTTGATTAGTTCATTAGATTGGGGTTGCATCCCTTCTTGTTTAGACTTGTTAAACCTTAGATGTTTTGGTACATTGACTTTCAGGTTCTAGGTGTTACTTCCGCATTTGTTTAGTTGATAGACTTTTGTTTGTAGTTTATGGGAACTCCCTACACTACACCAAAATGTATTTTTAGTGGCAATAAAATAATTACCCCTAATTTACTCTTTGAAATGAGATATAGCGGCAAATGTACATTCACCGTAAAAAAAGTTCTCGTTTCAGTGGAAATAATAGACAGTTGCCACTAAAAGTCAATAACTAAATTCAATTTTGATATTTTACTTATTTCCTCAAAGCAATAAAAACGCTGGCCATTAGATCCGTTGCCTTCCTCCTCCAGAGTCACCGCCTTTAGAGCCATCGTAGCCACCGTATTCACCGCCACTTAAGCCCTCGTATTCATCGCCACTGGAGTCTCGTATTCTCCACGGCCACCAAAACCACCGTATCCACCATCGCTATCTGGACCTCCAAATCCACCTCCGCTACCAATCAACACTATTACTATGTTGGTATTCTTCCTCCTTCACCGGTTACTATTTGAATTTCCTTATTTTTGGAAATTAAGTTATGATATTTTTATTCGTGGTTTGCAATATTCGGAGCAATTTTAGCACGTGCAATCGTCTCATGAGAAAACTAAGTTGTTAGAAATAAAGCTTGAGCCATTTTACAATTTCAGTATGTCTTTGTTTTCTCTGATCGATCTAATCGTATTTATGTATTCAAGTCCTCGCTCGAATCGAATTTGAGTCGTTGTTTTCTTCAAGCCCTAATTTTGAACACACCGTCAATTTCCAATCTAACACAGGTTGAAAATTTAACCTTTCATCTTTTCGATTCAAAATTCTTCTATAATTTGCACTTTTAGGCTACTTTATTTGTGTGTTGTAAGCATCAATAGCTTCTAAGGAGTATCTAACATTTTGATGTTGGTAGCATGTATGTTATTGTCCATGAGAACATCTGGAAGATAATCCATGTTCTTATTCATTTATCCTAAAGAGTTTTGGTGGAATTGGTATGACAGGTATAATGTGATAGGATTTACGTAATGATGTATACAAAGTTAGTTAAGGGTAGTTAAGGAATTATAGAAACTTGTTAATAAGTGGTTAGTCGGTTAGAGGAAAAAAATAGTGTATAAAACCACTGTTACATTGTAATTGGATTAGTCAGTCAATTTCTCTTTTCTGTATCATGAAATAAGAATCTCTCCTTTCTTCTTCTATAACACATCTGTGAAACACCATTAATGGTGAACTTAGATTGAGTAATTGGATGTAATTCAACATGGTATCAAAGCCTTTTACTCACGTTTGTGAGTTCTATTGAAGTTTTTTTTAGATTCGAGCTTAGTTGAGCTTCATCAATGGCGAATACTAAATTCAATCACAGTCATGCTTTGAGTTTACATCCTTCCGATACTACTGGTGTTTCTATTATTCCGATGCAGCTAACGGGATCCGACAATTACTCTATTTGGAGCAGGGCCATGCGTATTCAATTGCTTGGAAAGAACAAGCTGGGTATCGTTGATGGCAGCTGGAAGAAAGAGGGTTTTGGAGATGAGTTAGGGCATCAATGGGATAGATGCAACGCAATTGTTCAGCGCTGGATTATGAGTTCAGTAACTCAGGATTTGCACACAGGTATCGTTTATGCAACGAGTGCACAAGCAGTTTGGGAAGATCTTCGAGAGCGTTTTGATAAGGTGAATGCTTCACGGATCTATCGACTGCATAAAGCCTTTGCTACTACAGTCCAAGGTACTGATAGTATTCCTAGTTATTTTTCTAAACTAAGGAACTTATGGGATGAATTTGCGAGTATTGTGCCTCCATCCTGTCATTGTCCCCTGTCTAAGGATTTTCTGCTCATTTGGAGAGACAAAAACTAATGCAATTTTTAATGGGCTTAAACGATACATATGATCAGTCACATAGTCAAATATTGATGGTTGAGCCTACCCCTAATATCAACAAAGCATATGCTATGCTTGTTGAGAGGGAGAGTCAGAGATCAATTGCTTCTTCCTCAATGAATGGTGAAGGCACAGATTTAGCTGCTCTCATGGTAGGGAAGGGGATGATAAACAACACTACTGATTTTGGTGGTCAGGTGACAGGAAGAGGACCTTTATCCTTACAATAAGGGATCTAGCTCACAACACTATAATAAAGAAAATACTTCACAGACTAGCTCAAGCACTTCACAGA